TGTTTCATCTAAATAAAATATATTTCTTCTTTGGTTTCTCATTTCTTTTATAGTCCTTAGGTAATTTCTTCTCTATACTACAATATCGCTTTTTTCTAATAAAATAGACTTTCTGGAATGCTTTTTCCATAGAAAACCTATTTCTTTTAAAAGTTTCCATAGTGTGCTTCGACTCATTTCAGGGTAATCCTTATCATCTCGAACCGTGGCAAGAACTTTGTCTACTGTCGGAAATTCTTTTCTAAAGAAGAACGCATGCACTTTCCTTCGAAGACTTTCTTTCAAAAGATTTTCTAATTGAAATTTTGGTTTTCCTGGAGCTTTACGTGCTGTTTGAAACTCGCCACATTTCTCTTCTTTAACAACTCTGTAAATCGTAGATTTCCCAACACCAAGCGTACTACTAACTAATTCCACTGTGTCATCAACACTTTTACATAAATGTTTGTCTGTAAATGATTTAAAACAATTAAATATTAATGTTTTTTCATTAACTGTTAAAGGACCGATTTTTTGTCGTTTACGCGGCCCTTCCAAATTTTCCATGATCACACTAGAATTCACACTGCACCTTGCAAGTTGCAACTAAACGACATTTAGTAAACTGTCAAGAATAAACAACTTGGACCTCCTTACTAAATGGAAATCCTATAATCGCATTTTCGGTGAAATTTGTTGGGAAGGTATTTATCTACTTATAATTCGATTACTGTAAGAAATTCTCTTGGAATTAAAATAAAACAAAATTGGCAAATAGGTACTTATTGAAAATAATCTTAAGATACGGCTATGTAATCTTTAATACACAGGGCTTTTGGCCTGTCCAAACCTTTTTCTATTGTTCTGTACAGCTTATGTTTATAAAGGACCAATTAAAGACCCAAAACTTGTAATAGCTCAGGTACATTTATTACAATTTTAGGAAATATTTAGATTATTCTGTAAAAATATTTAAAATGACCGTACTAAGTTTTGCATTAGAAATGCTGTTTTATTAATCTCTCATACATAAAAATAGACTATAAGTGTTTCTTATTGCCAATTTGGGTACTGATGAGACAAATTACTTGAAAAATTATTTGTTGTCTTCAAAATTTTACAGTTTTTTCATGTTTCGTCCTAAGTATATCTTTTCCACATTTAAATTTGATTTGTTTTTATCACGAGACAAACGAGACGAGAGAACAGTTTTCTCTCGCCCTACGAGACGAGACGAGAGAGAGGTCTCTCTCTCGTCTCGTCTCGCGGCATCACTAGGTATTGTATGATCAATCATACTAGCAATCAATTGGATACTGTCTATGTAAAATTTATTAAGAGCATTTGGCTTGTTAAAAATATTTTTTATAACATTATTTTCTAGTTCAAGTTCAGTTAAGTTATTCGAATTATTTTTTGGAATCAGACATTAAAGATATTTTCACATTTCCTTTGAATTTCCCCTACTTTCGTAAATATTTTTCTCTATGTGTTTACTTTTTCTGTTCTAATTACGTCAACGGCCCTATTTCTATGCATTTTGTATTCATTCCAATTATTTTCTGTTTTTTCTTGTGAATAATTTTTATATGCAAGGTCTCTGTACCTTGTGGCAGCTTTTACATTTTCATTCCACCATTTTTTGTATTTAGGAAATATTTTTATTTGTTTTTTTGGCGCTACAGAATCTAATACGTTTAAAATATTTGTTACAAAATTATTTTGCATTATATTTAAACCTGTCAAATTTATGGAACCCAAGTTACTATTATCAAAAGGAAGAAGAGTTAAATTATTTAAATCTGTCAAATCTATAGAGCCCAAGTTACTATTATTAATAGGAATAACATTAAAATTATTTAAACCTGTCAAATCTATAGAACCCAAGTTAGTAGACATGTTACAGTTTGTATTTTTAGATTTCACAGTGTTAATAAATTTTAAATTTTTACAGACATTTTTGCTATTACTTATTGCTACACTAATTTTTCGTATGATATCAAGACAGTTTTAGTTTAGCACCTTGCTCATAATTGATATTTTTACATATAACATTCTACCTTTTGTATAATTGTTCAACTTATCCAGAAAATGATCTAATTTCAAATTAAATTTCTTGATTAGGTTTTTGTCACTGTGTCTTCTCAAAATTGGAACAGACACCATTATAAAGTTAGTGCGGGTACATAGTTTCAGTTTCAGAATTTAGGGACCCTGGACATGTCAAAATCATTACCACAATCACAAAATCAGATAATAAAAAAAAAACTCATTGTTGATGTAATTTATTTTATAATTTTATTTTTTTAAATATCAATCCATAAACACTTATTCCTAACATCCCCCCTCGATTTAAACTCTTTAGATGCAGATTGTCAAATCGAATTAATGTCAAATCTTGTACCATTTATATCAAATTCAATTAGGCATTCCAACGACCTGTCAAACAATAGGTGCCAGTGGGAAATTCTTGTATATCTAAGGGGGTAGCGACATAATCTTGCAACTTGGACGCTATTTTTATTCGAAGTAGTACTCGCCAAGCCTGCCAATTTATGAAGAAATGTATAGGTGGGTTTTTTAAATATTATTTTTATTGTGTTTGACATAAAATATTTAAATGTAATCCATTATTCATGATTTTACGTAAAGTAGATAGAATACACCATATGTCGCCACCCTTAGATATACCAAACCTGCCCACTGGTAATTCATTTGTTTGGAATGCCTACTTTCCTTAGTAAACATATCTGCTAAATTTTCTTCTGAATGGATATAATCAATATTTATGATATTTTTTTGTATCAGATCTTTTATAAAATGTTCATTAATGGAAATATGTTTGGTTGATTTTGAATTTTCAAACGTTTGTACCATATATATGGCCCATTTGTTATCTACAAGTAGAACAACAGAATCAATGGGCTTTGAAAATCTTGTAAAATTCCTTTTATATATGCGAGTTCTTGGGCTGATAAGGCTGTGGATATGTATTCAGCTTCAGCTGTAGATAATGTAACACAATTCTGTTCTTAGATCCCCTTTGAATAATACAACATAACCAGATACACTTTTTCTATCTTTAGTAACTCCACCACCTTTTTAATTTCTTCCTTAATGTAAACAAGTCTTAATGCTTTGGTGTTTTGTAAATATTATTATAGTCCAGTAACTGAAGACCTGAAAATATGCAAAGCTGTTATTAGGCCGGTCCAGATTTCCTTTGTGGCTGAATTCTTAGGTCTTGACGGTTGCTTTCAAGGGCGAAAACTTTTACCAACTCTGCTGCGTCGGAAAGGGCCCAAAATGGACCCTAAAACTGGTTTCCCGCCAATATCTTCCACAATATGCAAATTAGAGAATTTTTGTTTAGATAAAAAAGAAAGATCTTATCATTATCTACAAAAATGGTCCCTATCATTTTTGTCGGAAATTCGACAGGTTTCGAGATAACCGCAATCAAAAGTCCCTCGTTCAGCCCCTGCTTTATCTCTATAGCAATGCTGATTAGCTTGTAAACGGGTGGACAAATTGTTTCAGAACTCGGTCAAAAATTGATATTTTTCGATGATTCAAAGTTCATTACAATGGGAAAACCCATAGGTATCGATCCATGTTCCTTGAAGCCCGTTATTTCCTGTCAAGAACATTGAAAAAGGGGCCAAAGTTGCGTTTTCCCACTATTTTGGACCACTTTATAGTAATTCATTCATATTTTTGCTTTTAATAGTTTTTTTATCCTATTTTTGTTTTAAATGGGATCTTGAGAATCTTGAGATGTCTCGAATGATCTCAGAAATTTTTTTCCAGTATCTTCCTGGCGTTTTAAAACAAAATTGATTTGTTTATTTGCATTTTTCATACGTTTTCGGAGTTCTAGAAATCTTTGAAACAAGCAGTAATTAAAAACTCATATTTCATTATATTGTTATTCAATGCACACCATTTTAAAGCTTAGAGTGTCTACTTTTTGAATGTATTTTTTCGAAATTTAAATTTTCTGATGCGTTGAGTCAAATATGAGGCGCGGTTACTCAAACCGCTGTATCTTCGTTAGTTTTGCCCCGATTCATCTTAAATTTTCACACAATATTCTTGAAAGGTTCTCCATTCGCAAAAGATAGTTTCAAAACTTTACCCCCCTTAAATGTTGGTTAAGAAAGTTTGTTTAAATTTGTACTTGGGTTATCTTTTATTCTTGCTATGTTATAATGATTTCTGCCATGCATTTCTCTAAAAATTACTTCACTTTGTGTTCCTTCTTCCACATTTTTGCTTCCTAGATTTTTAATTTTTGTTTCTTTTACCTCTTTAACAAGATCAGCTAGTTCTTGTTTCTCAGAAGTGATTTCCGCGGATAAATATTACTCAATAAAACCAACAAAAACAAACATTTAATATGAGATCCCAAATACAATTTTTATACCAAAGATTCAATAAACAAGTATCAATAAAAAAAATAATAAATCATCAAATAACAAGACCTCTAAATACGTTTTTTATGTCTTTAAAAATGCGCGATTCCGCGAATAAACCTTACTTTATCAAAATGACAAGAACCAATATTTAGCACGAAAATTCAGGTATAATTTTTAGTAGACTTCCAAGCCTCCAAGTGGCTTAACTTTTCACGGATTTGAATGTTTCCCAGTGAACAATCCATTTAGATTCCGAAATTTGTAAATTTGTAGTAGTCAGACATGTTTCTGTCAAAAAAATCATCAGACTGCATAAGAGTGACCATAAAAGGATTTTTGGGGGTAGCACTGACCATCAGTCTTACCAAATCCATTGGAACTTCACATTTCTCCAAGCGAGTTATTTTCTTAATTTGGGCAAAGTTCCTATCACAACTCAGAAATGAATGGTCTGAAACTACTGTATAAAATATTGATGAATATCTATAACCTCTTTTTTTGTGTCACTGTAATTGTCAATTTAATATTTATCAAACTCTTTCAAACCAAACAGTATTACAAACTTTTTTAATACCTATTCTTATTTTTTTTTGTATCTATTAGACACAACCCACGACGGGACAGCAGTTCTTATTTGTCTCCTACAAGAAGAAAAAGAAGACATAAAAGCGAATCAGACAAAACTAGAAGTCATACACCCCCTCTACAGTTTTTACCGAAAAGTGAAGATGAGAAGAAAATGAAGGAAGAAGAGCTTGTGCCAAAGAGAACAGACCCAGTCAAAAACTTTTTTACAGACCATCTTGATAATATATTAGAGTCAATACAAAGTAATGTACATGATAAAATAACCTTTCCTAACCCCAAAAACCCCAATCCTACCCCACAACTTGAAACAATATTCAGCGATGATAATTTTAGTCAAGAAGAAGAAATTATTACCAAAACAGCAAAAGTGAAAAATAGAAGAAAATCATCAATAAAAGAATATTTTACAGTCCTTTTTGATGATTCGCAACTTCCAGATGTTAATAAAAATATTAAAGAAGAAGAAGAAGAAGCAGCAGCAGCAAATAAAATTAAATCAAAGAAGAAGCACAAGAAACATGAAGACACAGAAGTTGATACAAATAAAAGCAAATTAAAGAAGAAGAGCAAACTTGATGTTTCAGAAAAAGAATTAAAATTGGCAACAATGAGCAAATTTGGTCGAGATTTAGTTGCTGATGATGAAGATAAAGATAAGATGGAGGAAGAACAAAAATTAGCCACCAAGAAAAGACAAGGACCAACAGAAAATTCCGTTTCTGATTCTATCGAGAAACTAAAGGATTATGATGATCAATTTGCTTCTCCACTGAAGAGGTACATCAAAAAATGCAAAGAACTATCTGAAGAAAGCACCAGGTCTGAAATAAACGACATTTCAGAGCAAGAAAAGATGATAAAAAATAAGAAAAAACGAAATTCCAAAGATTTAGAGGACATTATCATTGATGACATACAATCAAATTCAAAAAAAGCTGCAGATATCGAATATATTGAAGCTAAAAGGAAACGAAAATCTAAGGAAATCGATGATGATCCACATCAGATGACAAAGAAGCCAAAATTATTAAAAATAACCTCTCCTAGGAAATCATTTTCTCCATTGGAAGATATTTACAATGAAGAAGATGCTGGAGAAATTAAAACGAAGAAAGATCGTAGATTCAAGCAAAGCAATCCAATTGCAACTGATAAATTGATGTTAAGATCTCTTCCAGAAGATATAGAAGAAGTAACTAAGAAGAATCGCGTTAATGACATATTTGCAGATGATTTGAATTCTTGTCTTGCAGAAAATGTTACTAAAGAAGATTCAAACAGTAAAAAGAAGTCAAAATCACTTGAAGATACAATAACTAAAACAGCCAGAAGATCTAAAGACATTCTGGATGATTCTTTTGAAAAAAACTCAACATTCGCTGTGAGAAAGAGGACAGACTCAGTAGATGACAGCAAATGTCAGAAAGAATCTACAATCAAGAGCTTCACTGTTGAAGAAATCAACAATTCCCAGAATGCTGTACAAGAATTGGATGAAGAAGGAAAAGATCAGGCACAGATTATTTCAAATGAACCTCAAGTTCAAAAAATTGAAGAAGGAGTAGCATTAGGAAAACTGGATGAAGGAAATCAGACTCTGAACGATTTAAATAATATTCAAGAAGAAAAAATGGAGACTCCAGTTCAAAAATTGGAAGAAGAAGTATTGTCAAAGAAGAGAAGCTACCTAAGAGGATTGGACGAAGAAATTGATACTAAAAATGACAAAAATCAGACTCTGGATGATTTAAATGAAATTCGGGTTGAAAAAATTGAAACCCAAGATCAGAAATTAGAAGAAGGAGTAGTGTCAAAGAAGAAAAGCAGCTCAAGAAGACTGGACAAGGAGATGGTTACTAAAGAAGATAAAAATCAGACTCTGAACGATTTAAATAATATTCAAGAAGAAAAAAAGGAGATTCCAGTTCAAAAATTGGAAGAAGTATTGTCAAAGAAGAGAAGCTACCTAAGAGGATTGGACGAAGAAATTGATACTAAAAATGACAAAAATCAGACTCTGGATGATTTAAATGAAATTCGGGTTGAAAAAATTAAAACCCAAGCTCAGAAATTAGAAGAAGGAGTAGTGTCAAAGAAGAAAAGCAGCTCAAGAGGATTGGACAATGAAGTTGATAGTAAAAAAGGCAAAAATCAGACTCTGGATGATTTAAATGAAATTCGGGTTGAAAAACTTGAAACCCAAGCTCAGAAATTAGAAGAAAGAGTAGTCTCAAAGAAGAAAAGCAGCTCAAGAGGATTGGACAAGGAGGCGGTTACCAAAAAAGACAAAAATCAGACTCTGGATGATTTGTCAGTTCAAAAATTGGAAGAAGGAGAAGTTTTGAAGAAAAAAAGCAGTTCAAGAGGATTGGATAAAGAAGCTGCTACTAAAAAAGAGAAAAATCACACTTTGAATGATCCAATTGAAACTCCAGTTCATAAATTGGAAGAAGTAGAAGTATTGAAGAAGAAAAGCAGTTCAAGAGGATTGAATAAAGAAGCTGTTACTAAAGAAGACACACATCAGATTGTAAATGCTTTAAATGAAACTCCAGTTCAAAAATTGGAAGAAGAGAAACTGTTGAAGAAGAAAAATAGTTCAAGAGGATTGGATAATGAAGATGCTACTAAAAAAGACAAAAATCAGTCTTTGAATGATCCAAACGAAACTCCAGTTCATAAATTGGAAGAAGGAGAAGTATTGAAGAAGAAAAGCAGTTCAAGAGGATTGGACAATGAAGCTATTACTAAAGAAGATAAAAATCAGACTCAGAATGAAATTAAAGTTGAAAAAAAGGAAGAACGAATAGTGCCAAAAAAGAAAAGCAGTCCAGGAGTATTGGACAAAGAGGATTTTACTGAAATAAACGAAGATCAGATACAAAATGTTTCAAATGAAATGCAAGTTCGGAAACTGGAAGAAACAATGGCACCAAAGGATAAAAGCAGTCCAGAAAGATTGGACAAACCTCTGGAGGAAATTGTTACAAAATCTCCTTCAAAAGAAGCGTTTGTCGAAAATTCCCTAAAGAATAATGATGCCAGTAACACTAATAATAAACTGGAAGCAGAAAGAATAGATTCATTTGATTCTTCAGAAGAATTGAACAAAAGTATTGAAGTTGATAAAGATTCTAAGAAGATCGTCATCGTCAGCGACATTTTATTACATTCTGGAAAGCCGAAATATACCGAAAACGGTCAGCACAGTTTACCTGTTCATTTAAACCTACCAAATTTGATCAAATTGGAAACCATCATTGCAGGATCTAAAGAAAATCCAATACTAGAAAAAGAAGCAAACATTGATCTTCCTAAAGTAAAAACATCAAAGTCGGTTTCGAGAAAAGACAGACTTCTAGAAAGATACGCATCAGAAAACAGTCAGAGCAAATTAAATAGTTCGTTTTCTGATAGTATCAGCACTGACCAAAGCCAAGAAGGTTTACTAACAGAAGAGAAAGTAAATAGAAAAAGAAAAGGACCAGAAGAAGCTGTTACAGTTCCCAAAAAACGAAAAGTGGATTTACAATCGACTGAAATAGAAGAGGGGATTGATAAAGAAAAGCAGATCGATGAAATAGAACGAAAATTACAATTGATGCACAAAAGTCCTTTAATTTCTGGAAATAATATTAAAAAGAAAGAAGAAGAAGAAGAAGTTGAAACGATACCAAAATCTACAAGAAAACGTAGAGGCAAAGGCAGTGCTGCAGTAAGAAAGAGTCCTAGGAACCTGAATCTAAAAACACCTGAATTAGTTGAAAAAACAAATGACACTACAACTACTACCATTGAAGAAGCAACAATTAAAAATACAGAAGATGTAATAAAAATTAGTACCGCAGTATTACCAGACATTAAATCACGCCTGGAAGACTTAGAAACAGATTCTAATAAGACTGAAACAATTCAAACAAACGTTACTGCATTGCAATTAGATTTCCCAAACATTTCCACCGATAACAAAGCTGCTACAGAACAAAAAACCATCAGAAATACCCATCATTTACCGCCATCTTTAGGAAACATCCCCGTAACGTCAGCATCGTCGCCTATAAGACACTTAGGACGTAAACGAATTACACCGACACCAGTAAAAGATTCACCTGTTTGTTCGTTTCAGAACATCCTCGAAAAGAACAAATCCGACTTCAAAATATTCTCCAAAAATATTATACTCGAATCGGATCTGAATCTCACCGATGACGGTGAGATTCCGATCCTCCACTTAGAAGAGAACCATTTTAATAACATGGAAGACGCGACGCAAAAAACTTTCGATAAAAGTATCATGAAACTTCTAGATTGCATGAACGTTTCAAATTTGGATTGCGATATATCAAAAATTACCGAAAAAGCTACTAGTAGTAGTTTGTCGTTTGAGAATGTCATTGATAAAGCGTCAAATGATAATATACATTCGACTCCTGTTAAAAATCCATTAATCCCAGTATCTTCGACTCCTAGAGTTGATATTAACGATCAAACTGTCAATAATGGAATCAGCAAGACAGAGGCAGGATCCAATTCAACAACCACTTCTGTGCAAGCTCCGGTGAGGTTCAGAAGGAGGTGTAGAATAGTTGCTGTTAAAAAGGTGTAAATTATTGTAAATTATTTTGTATATATGTACATTACTGAAGAAATTTTTAATTATTTAAGATATTAAACTATTTCGATTAGGATTGGTGACATTGCTTTTGTTTTTATCTTTTTTATGTCTGTTTCGATAACTATCAGAAACCAGTCACTGCGCAGTAATCCTGATGTCAGTGACTGGTTTCTGGTCATCATTGGAACATACCTTTAAGATTCAATTGTATCACAAGAGTTTAAGAAGAATTAAACTGAATCTGGTTTTGACAATGACATACTAATCATACTGATAATGTCATAGTCAAAACCAAGTTCAATTTAAACTCTTCTGGAACTCTTGTCATATCATACAATTGGAGCTTACAGGTAAATGCCAAAGAATGACATGTGTAATAGTTGTTCTGGAAGTGATCTGTTACTGGTAGTGTGGTGTATCCACTATTTTTTCTTCTACTGTCTCCACTAATAACGAATATAGTTTGACATTTCTGTTATCGAAAGATAAAAGGGCATAAGTCAATTTTATTGACGACTCCACTCTTGTCCCGTTCAAACTCCAAAAAAACCGAACCCATCACTCCTCGGTCGTTAATTCAAGCTTCATTTACTCTTTAAACTTCAAACGTCCCTTTCACTGTTTGTTTATTCCAATAAGTGTGCTTAAGTGTCAATTAAAAACCCTAAAAAAAACTCAACTCCTGTCCCGCTCCAACTCCAGAAAAATCACTAAAAATTTACTTGTTCCCTTTTATCTTTTGACCCAGATTTATGAAAATGGCAGGTACGTCAAGAAACTTAACTTAGTTGCATCATCAGGCTAAGGGTTTTCTAATATTCAAGATGTAGATTTTTTGCTTAGAGAACAAGCCAGGCTTGTCATCAACCTTTTGACTGGACAAGCGTAACTGCAGTAAAGTATTAATATAAATAATAAACATAGTAATAATATATATCTGCCCCGCCCATCCATTCAGTCTACCCGCCGACTAGAATCGGAGATCCTGGTCATAAGAAATCTGTCAGTAGCCCCGCCCATCCGTTCAGTCTACCCGCCGACCAGAATCGATGACCCTAGCCACATTTTAATATTCCAATTAGTTTAAGTTACGGTGGTTATAAATTATACTTAACTGCGTCTGTACATGATCAGATTTTCGTGAATGAAGCCAACTATACTTCATATTAGCGCTGTTTTCAGCCGTGATGCTGTTAATATCTACCTTTAGCTCTGATGCGAGACAATTTTAATAAAAGTTATTGGCATTTTTTAGAATGAATTGATTTATAAGACGTATAAATGAGGGTATAATAGTTTGAATGCACGCCTATGAATGTTTTAACAATGGTGATCCTCAAATTTAACGACAGTAGGCTGGGCACTATTGATGACGTACATGGCTTGTTCTTAAAGCAAACAATTTTTTATTACACTATCAACAAATGACTGATTGATGTAATTCCTTAAGAAATTATTAATTATTTAGGATATTAAAAGAGTTCGATTCGGATTGATGACATTGCTTTTGTTTTTATCTTTTTTTATGTGTAAATTGACTATTTAAAGTCTCTCAGTAACCATCAGAAACTAGTCACTGCACAGAATTCTGATGTCAGTGAGTGGTTCCTGGTAATCGTTGGAACATACCTTTAAGATTCAATTGTATCACAAGAGTTTAAGAAGAATTAAACTGAATCTGGTTTTGACAATGACATACTAATCATACTGATAATGTCATAGTCAAAACCAAGTTCAATTTAAACTCTTCTGGAACTCTTGTCATATCATACAATTGTAGCTTACAGGTAAATTCCAAAGAATGACATGTGTAATAGTTGTTCTGGAAGTGATCTGTTACTGGTAGTGTGGTATATTCACTATTTTTTCTTCTACTGTCTCCACTAATAACGAATATAGTTTGACATTTCTGTTATCGAAAGATAAAAGGGCATAAGTCAATTTTATTGATGATTCCACTCTTGTCCCGTTCAAACTCCAAAAAAATCGAACCCATCACTCCTCGGTCGTTAATTCAAGCTTCATTTACTCTTTAAACTTCAAACGTCCCTTTCACTGTTTGGTTATTCCAATAAGTGTGCTTGAGTGTCAATGGGCCCGTTCACTTTCATTTTTGAATGTGAATTAATTATATATTTACAAAGATATTAAACTCTTTTGTCTGGTGGTACTTTTCCCGTTAAGATATTTTTGCTAGAAGTAAGGGAATTCCCATAAAATTCTTTCAGTGACTCATTGCGTCAGAAAATCCCTAATTCCGTTCACGTGTCGTATCGGTTATGCTTAAAGACGGCGAGGTTGTCGGAAGTATCCCTAATATAGCATTTCTGCATTTATATATGAATTTAAATAGTAAAATTCCATTATTTTTCTAAAATTCATGAACTTATATTTTCAGATTTAAAGCTGGGAGCTTATTTTTTACTTTTTAATTAAAACAATTATTATTACTCAGGCTGAAAATTAACCAGACCATAATCAAAATGTAGAAATTTGATTTGCAATATTTATCTGGTAAACGTGGCAACGTTGCATTTATTTCTAGAAGTGTGTGTAGACAACACTATTTAGAAGCACTTACAACGTTGTCACGTTTACCAGATACATTTTCTCAAATAAAATTTCGATCTGGTAATATTCAGCTTGAGTAATACTAATTGTTTTTATTAAAATTTAAAAAAGGTAAGGCTTCCAGCTTTATCCGAAAATATAAACACATTATTTTTAATAAATAATATATTTTTATCATGTAAATTTCTTTAATAAATGCATTAGAGGAATGGTGGTGCAATGATACATCCGACAACCGCGCCCTTTTAACTATTAACCGATACAAGACCTGAAGGGAATTAGGGGTTTTCTGACGCAATGAGTCACTGAAAGAATTTTATGGGAATTCCCTTACTTCTAGCAAAAATATCTTAACGGGAAAAGTACCATCAGACAAAAGAGTTTAATATCTTTATAAATATATAAATAATTCACATTCAAAAATGAAAGTGAACGGGCCCATTAAAAACCCTAAAAAAAAACTCAACTCCTGTCCCGCTCCAACTCCAGAAAAATTACCAAAAATTTACTTGTTCCCTTTTATCTTTTGACCCAGATTTATGACAATGGCAGGTACGTCAAGAAACTTAACTTAGTTGCATCATCAGGCTAAGGGTTTTCTAATATTCAAGATGTAGATTTTTTTTGCTTAGAGAACAAGCCAGGCTTGTCATCAACCTTTTGACTGGACAAGCGTAACTGCAGTAAAGTATTAATATAAATAATAAACATATTTGTTCGTTTCAAAATTTCTTTATTTATAATATATACAACTTGCTATAATAACATTTGAAATATTTATTTGTAGCAGGATCTCTTAGCGACTCCAGGAAGTATTCCAGTGCTACTGTGGACTCTAGTGAGTCCATGACCAATGTCCTGGCTGTATATTCCTAAGCTATTATTTATAATAGTGAGTTCACATGATATCTCCTTGTTGCTATCAACATTATAAATCAATTTTGGTTGCTAACTAGATCGATAATGGAAAAGTATGAAGTTTTTGTTGATTTTAATTCTGTCTGTCTTGCCTGAAAAACTGGTTATAAAAACAGTAATAATATATATCTGCCCCGCCCATCCATTCAGTCTACCCGCCGACCAGAATCGGTGACCCTGGCCATAGGAAATCTGCCAGTAGCCCCGCCCATCCGTTCAGTCTTCCCGCCGACCAGAATCGGTGACCCTGGCTATCGAAAATCTGCCAGTAGCCCCGCCCACTCGTTCAGTCTACCCGCCGACCAGAATCGATGACCCTAGCCATATTTTAATATTCCAATTAGTTTAAGTTACGGTGGTTATAAATTATACTTAACTGCGTCTGTACATGATCAGATTTTCGTGAATGAAGCCAAATATACTTCATATTAGCGCTGTTTTCAGCCGTGATGCTGTTAATATCTACCTTTAGCTCTGATGCGAAACAATTTTGATAAAAGTTATTGGCATTTTTTAGTATGAATTGATTTATAAGAAGTATGACTGAGGGTATAATAGTTTGAATGAACGCCTATGAATGTTTTGACATTGGTAGGAACAATGGTGATCCTCAAATTTAACGACAGTAGGCGGGGCACTATTGATGACGTACATGGCTTGTTCTTAAAGCAAACAATTTTTTATTACACTATCAACAAATGACTGACTGATGTAATTCCTTAAGAAATTATTAATTATTTAGGATATTAAAAGAGTTCGATTCGGATTGATGACATTGCTTTTGTTTTTATCTTTTTTTTATATGTAAATTGACTATTTAAAGTCTTTCAGTAACCATCAGAAACCAGTCACTGCGCAGAATCCTGATGTCGGTGAGTGGTTCCTGGTCATCGTTGGAACATACCTTTAAGATTCAATTGTATGACAAGAGATTAAGAAGAATTAAACTGAATCTGGTTTTGACTGTGACATACTAATCATACTGATAATGTCATAGTCAAAACCAAGTTCAATTTAAACTCTTCTGGAACTCTTGTCATATCATACAATTGTAGCTTACAGGTAAATTCCAAAGAATGACATGTGTAATAGTTGTTCTGGAAGTGATCTGTTACTGGTAGTGTGGTATATTCACTATTTTTTCTTCTACTGTCTCCACTAATAACGAATATAGTTTGACATTTCTGTTATCGAAAGATAAAAGGGCATAAGTCAATTTTATTGATGATTCCACTCTTGTCCCGTTCAAACTCCAAAAAAAACCGAACCCATCACTCCTCGGTCGTTAATTCAAGCTTCATTTACTCTTTAAACTTCAAACGTCCCTTTCACTGTTTGGTTATTCCAATAAGTGTGCTTGAGTGTCAATTAAAAACCCTAAAAAAAACTCAACTCCTGTCCCGCTCCAACTCCAGAAAAATCACCAAAAATTTACTTGTTCCCTTTTATCTTTTGACCCAGATTTATGACAATGGCAGGTATGTCAAGAAACTTAACTTAGTTCCATCATCAGGCTAAGGGTTTTCTAATATTCAAGATGTAGATTTTTGCTTAAAGAACAAGCCAGGCTTGTCATCAACCTTTTGACTGGACAAGCGTAAAGTATTAATATAAATAATAAACGTAGTTGTTCGTTTCAAAATTTCTTTATTTATAATATATACAACTTGCTATAATAACATTTGAAATATTTATTTGTAGCAGGATTTCTTAGCGACTCCAGGAAGTATTCCAGTGCTACTGTGGACTCTAGTGAGTCCATGACCAATGTTCTGGCTGTATATTCCTAAGCTATTATTTATAATAGTGAGTTCACATGATATCTCCTTGTTGCTATCAACATTATAAATCAATTTTGGTTGCTAACTAGATCGATAATGGAAAAGTATGAAGTTTTTGTTGATTTTAATTCTGTCTGTCTTGCCTGAAAAACTGGTTATAAAAACAGTAATAATATATATCTGCCCCGCCCATCCATTCAGTCTACCCGCCGACCAGAATCGGTGACCCTGGCCATAGGAAATCTGCCAGTAGCCCCGCCCACTCGTTCAGTCTTCCCGCCGACCAGAATCGGTGACCCTAGGGAAATCTGCCAGTAGCCCCGCCCACCCGTTCAGTCTACCCGCCGACCAGAATCGATGACCCTGGCCGTATTTTAATATTCCAATTAGTTTAAGTTACGGTGGTTATAAATAAATTATACTTAACTGCGATTTTCAAGAATGAAGCCAAATATACTTCATATTAGCGCTGTTTTCAGCCGTGATGCTGTTAATATCTACCTTCAGCTCTGATGCGAGACAATTTTGATAAAAGTTATTGGCATTTTTTAGTATGAATTGATTTATAAGAAGTATGAGTGAAGGTATAATAGTTTGAATGCACGCTTATGAATGTTTTGACATTGGTAGAATTATAGCAACAATGGTGATCCTCAAATTTAACGACAGTAGGCGTAGGCGTGGTACTATTGATGTGCATGGTTTGTTCTTAAAGTAAACAATTTTTTATTACTGATGTAATTCTGATTTTTCATTTGATGAAATTCCTTGACATTTTAGAATTTTGAAATCTTTAAAGAAACCAAAACTAATAAATTCAAAATTTATAAGCACCTTGTTTGGAAGTAAAATATATTTTGTGAAATGGTAATACAAATAGATTTGGTGTTTGGAATTTAGAGTACATGAAAAACAGTTGGATTTGGTGTAATCTCTTTGAAAGTTTAGTTAAATTTTAGAATCTGACTTAAATCTGACTAAAAATTATTGATGAATATTAGAAAATGCTTGTGACTAGTAGTGCAATAAAATACTTTTGAAACGAAATTTGTAGATAATAGTTTTTGTATCAAGTCAGCTAAGTGATTCTTTATCAAACTAGTCTATCAGACGAGTTTAATAAAGATACTTTGCTGACGTGATCCATTCAAACTTTTATCGCCAACTGTAATTATAATTAATAAAAAAGAAGATATAACATCACATTTTAGCATGAAAAAGTAAACAAACAGAACTATTTCTGTCAGACAGTCATGGTTATGTTGATAAATATTAGCAGCAAGTAAAATATTTGATTTTTATGTTATAAAATGTTTGTTTACTTCCGTAAAATGCTATGGTAATGCATGGCTTTATGGACGGTTGGCGATAAAACATTTTACAAGCACTTATAAGTACTTTTGTATTATATATACATTTTGACTACTCTTTTTTTATTAATGTATTTGAAAGATAATTAATTTACATTTTAAGTTATTTATATTTTATTTTGTCAGTAGATTTGACACTTATTTAAAATGATTTTAATAAAAAATAACGAAAATCAATTTTTTTGAAATGATATTTGTTAAAAATACGACAGTTGTATATATAGTTTATTTTTAGAAATTTATAATGTGAATAAAATCGTTATTAATTTTATAATCTATGTTTTTTATTTATTTTTGGGTAAGTATGGACAAACTAGTTATTTTATACAAAATAAACAAATTACAGTAGTTAGTTTAAGTAGTTTACATAGATAAATAATTAAAAAAATATTACACAAACCATTCGTCTAACCTTTAGTAATGTCTATTTTCATATAACAATGGTCAATTCCTAGTTCTTGATACAAAATTAAATTTATTAAATCACTTAGCAACTTACGTAGAAATAGTAAATCGGATCATATGTCTTCGTTTTTCAAGAGAGTAAATCTTAGTAATTCCAGAATTTTGAACGACAATTAGTGTCCAGCTAGTTCATTCCTAGATTGAATGCATAATGTCTAAAAAACCTTACATAAATTAATAAGAATTTTTTATATATATTTATTAATATGAAAATTTCTGGATGGAAAAAGCAATATCGGGATAGGGTATAGAACATTTTAGAATGTAACAGCAGAGCTTACCATAACCAGCTCGGGGACTCGGATGACGGGAACCGTATGCGCAGATCTCTACGCGCATTGCTCTAGCTCCGCCTTCTCGAGTAGAGCGAGGTTACAAACTTCAGTGCAGTGGCGCGCTTGTTGATATTAATCGGTTACTGTCAAACCACGGCATAGACGTAGTTACGACTATATTTGCAGATTCGTTTGTTCAGTGCCGAAGATTTTTATTTTGTTTGTGTTTGGAGACTGCAGTAGCGGCTCGTGGCCTAGTCTACGATGAGGCTGGCATATCCTATATAGTTAATACTAATATATATTTCTGCTTTTTGTATTCTAATAGAAATATATATTTGTATCAGGATATATAAGGTTTGCCTTTCAGAAGTAGCCTTCTCGTAGATTGGGCCACAAACCAGCTCTGACTAAGAGATTCTTTAGCTTTCCTTTGCAACCCAATATGCGAGTAAAAATATTATTTTTATCACTTGAAGGAACTTCAAGAGATATTGCTAGTCATCACACGTATTCTAGGCCAATACTTCTTCTGGCGAAAATACGGGTTCTTGGGCAGAAAGTATTAGTTCTAGTAACAAAAGGAAATCAACAATTACTTCAGGTATAATAGATATTAAAATTATTTACTGAGGAAAATCCTTAACAACGCTTCCAACCTATTTGTCTCACTTGGAGTCATCTATCATCGATTTATATCATTCTAACAGACTCTTATTCAAGATTGATCGCTGATAAATGCTTCATTTACTTCTGGTAATCTTCTTTTGATGTTAGACACTCTTTATATCGATCCCACCAAAAGCAATTTACACTTTTTGCAACCTCAAAAAAGAAGAGAACCATCTTTGACAACCTTTCAAAGCAACGCCTGCTCAACACGCCTTAGGACATAGATGACATAGTTGTCGAAGTCCAAGACATAATCATCAATGCCATCGAAATATCAACCCCTATGACTTCCATAAACACATTCCAACAATCCCCAGATAGCACAAATACGTCTTATGGACGTTTTAAAAACGATTCATGAACATTGAACACCATGTTTTTTCTTTTTTTTCAAATAAAAGCCCTGAGAATATTTCAGTGCTTGAATTTAAATAATACTAAAATGTCATTTGTCAACAATGTCCCTTTCTTCGTTTTTTCTATATTTGGCCTTCATACAATTGCATATTAGGACAATGCCATCTTTAATTCTCATTATATAAGTTGTTTATACAATAAAGCACGTAGAATTGACGTTCTGCGGATATCTATTTCTTGATGTCCCGAGGATTTACTAAACTGGACACACTTAAAACGTCCTGGACCTACAGACGATAAATGGACGTCCTGTGCTATCTGGGTCAGTATTTTTTAAACTGCATTTCCCAAACATACCACCTGTACAGGCAATATGTCCGCACACATGACCTACAAACTGAATGGAACCGTCTGAATGCCCTGATCAGGCCAAACAAATCAACAGGGTCTGTTCTGGTTCTTCAGAAATATGTTAAAAAACTATCTCGAGTACTAGATGACCAGTGGAAAGTTAAAAAGTTTTACACGACACGCAATTGAATATTCAACTGTTTCACTGGATCTTGGACGGGTTGCAGTACATTTTGAAGAAACCAGAACAAGCTTAATATAAATAATAGATCCAATACAACTTCAAATTTGGACTTCAGACAAGGTTCGAAGTTTTGGGACAAATTCCGAGTTATCACTGGTCAAAAATCCAAAAAACTCACTCCCACATCGAAATCTACGGTGTAATACACAACACCCTCAAGGAGAAAGCCTCAATCCACAAGTTCCATCTCGAAGCCATTTTCAGAACCCTAGACAACTTCCACTTTGACGAACAATTCGGAAACCAGACCGAACAAATCGTCCATCAGACACTAGCTGTTCCTACTCCCCCAGTGGATGTCGAAAACCCACTCACTACCCCCTTCACTCCCCAAGACTTGCAATATGCCTGTCTATCAGGTCAAATATGGCCCCAGGACCGGACTCCATCAACAGAAGAACCTGTAAAATTTTCTGAAGCCATGTTTCTTATTCTGACACTTCTCCTGAATGTCTGCCTCTCCCTATCCTACGTTTCTGGAATTTCTCAAACTGTAAAATTTCCTGAAGCCATGTTTCTTATTCTGACACTTCTCCTGAATGTCTGCCTATTTCCCTATCCTAGTTTCCTGGAAGTTCTCAAACACAATTCAAATTCCTAATTCAAGTAGACTCCAAATCCATAAATTCATACCGTACTTGGTAAACTCCTTGAACTTTTGATCAAAGAGAGAATCTGGGAATTTTGTGACGATAGAAATATTATACTTCAATCCCAACATGGTTTTAGACCTCACCGCCCCACTCAGGACGCTCTCACTTCACTCCAAATTCAAAACAATTCTCCTGAACCGTTTTTCTCGATGTTCAAAAAGCTTTTGATCAAGTCTGGCATGCCGGACTAATAGGACAAAACAGTTTTAAGAAGAGTGATCATAGGTATTCCTTCGTCCACATGGGGACAGTACCGTGCCAGTACCTGTACTGGAGGATACGGTGGTACCTGATAGAAGTGAAACCATTATAGTAGCACGGCTTGAAGAAACTACCCAGATAGCACACGACGTCTGAAAAACGTCTTTTTTGTGGCTTGGTTTGGTCTCAATGTCCTAGGACGTTATTAAAACGTCTGACAAAAGCCATAATTCAGATGTATTAATGTGAGAGCTCAAAGACGTTTAAGATGTCTTGCCAAATCCATGAAACGTCTTTCAGTCAGACGGAGACTTACACGGTTTACATAATTCAAATTTAACAAGAAGAATCAAATTAAGTAAAGTTTGACTTAACACTCCTTTATAAACAAGTGTTGAGACCCATCTCACTTAGGGGTGCCAGGTCTTCTGTTCTGTTCCAAACACGCTCTATAGAAAACTACAAACAGCAAAACAAGTATCTAAGGCAGGTCCTGGGGGTATCACACGTGCAAACATCCATCAAACTAATCAAAAAACACATTATGTTCATGTAGGAAAGGTTCTATAACAATTGTCTTCCTAGTGAGCTTAAAGGAGACATATTCGCAATGCATAGCAAGGACGGAGCAAACGGAGTACATGGATGTTTGCACGATGATCTCGAAATCTACAGACGCGACATAGACTAGACAAAAGTAGTAACATTCCTTACAGCTCGTAGTTCGCGTAGACAGCTATTAATAAGTCTTCTTATTTATGGCTTATTTTAAGCTCTACAGACGTCTTAAATACGTCTCGTATGTCTTATGCTAGACGTCTTTGTGCTATCTGGGTATGGAATAAGGAACACCTGTCATGATGGAACCACGATGAAGAGGTTGATCGAGAAGGGGTTAGTCTTGACTGCTAGAGATTCTAGTACGTCTCATAACCGCTAATGATCACCCAATTACCACCAAGAAAGATACCAGAATCGGAATCTGTGTACCAGTAACTTCCATAATTCGTCAAACAACAACTTCTGATAATCCCAACAAAAAATTATTGTAGAGAAAGGAAAAATAAAGGAATTGTTAGGGAAAAAGGAGGGAAAAAACAGGAAGAACTTCTGTTAAGAAACATAAAATTGACAGTGGTGACGCCAGGCCGATCTTCAATCAGTTCGAAGATTACCAAAGGCCAAGAAAGAGGAGAAATGAAAGAAGACAGTATGATAGAACCTTTTACCAGCCCATGGGCCTCTCCGGTAGTTCTGGTCCAGAAAAGGATGGAACTACGAGGTTCTCTGTGGACTGCAGTCAGTTGAACAATGTTACCAAGAAAGACAAAGATATTGGCAGGTGGAAATGGATCCAGTAGACAAAGAAAAGGCAGCTTTTACCACCGGATTTGATTTGATTGAAAGACTTATGGAAAATATGTGTCGCTCGAAAGCCTACCCTGTCTGTTGTTTACTCCCGCGGTATGGAGTCTAGCGGCGCGCTGGCAATATAGAGACAATCAAACGCCTCTCGAATATACCAGAACAAACGATAGGTACGTGACGTTGAGTCATAGAGATGGAAGTCTAGGACATTCCACACCTCGAGAAGTGGAAATATAAATAAATAGTGGACAATAATGGCTAAAAGACTGTGATTTAAAAGTGACTGAGCTACATCGGGAGTTAGAGGATCGCGAGTTGGAGACGACAGGGAAGAAAGCAGAACTGCAGAAAGCGGTAGGTACGTGACGTTGTCATAGAGATGGAAGTCTAGGACATTCCATACCTTCTCGAGTATTCTGGTTACAGAGTTGGCTTGATATAAATATCGCGAGTGTGAAGACGGAAGTCAGTTGTATATAGACAGTTTAGTTTAGAGCATTGTAATGAAAAGTTAAAGTGTAATAAATAAATTAGAATTGTTAGTTAGTATCTAAGTGTTATATAAATTAAATAGTACGTCTGAAATAAATTGTAAATAGTGTTTTAAATAAATAAACTCTAAATAAATTAAACTATCGTCACATGTTTGTATATTGTTCGTCCTATAGTTTACCGCTTTTGAGGCCGTCTATCGCAAAACATTTCTATGAATTTACTCACTTAATGTTCAAATCAACATAGTACACAAGAAGTGTGCTATTTGACACAAAAAAACTTTTTACGTAAACGAAGGTCATCAGGGAAGCACTTGTTCCACAATAGTGGCCCATCACTCCACGTGGACATTTACACCGATTTTTTTCTATCTAGAAGATAGCTCTTCTTCTAGGTGCTGTCAAATAATAATTAAAACAAATACGGTTTCAAATTTTAATAATTTATTTTTTATAATAATATTGAAAAGGAAAAATTAATTTTTTAAAACTCGTCATTCTGGAATGGATGGTGTTGATGACCATAGCCGCTGAAACAAAAAATATTTCAAATTCATTTAGAAATCATTTATGTACAACTTAAGTTTAACACAGACTATCCACTATCCATTTGAACTTTTGACATCGCTATGTAGCCGAAACATTAGCTTACTTGTCCCTTATTAATCAGCTAGTGAAAAATTCTTGGGGCTTGTTATTACCTGTGTCTAAGTGATCTTTGACCTCTGAAATTTTTTATCTCCATCTATAGCTACCCGAGTACTTTCGATGCTCATTCGAGATTTTGTGGAGTGAACCACAATAAATAATCTGGCGCCCTAAAGTCGGCCATAAGAGCCATTCGTAAGGAACCATTTTCTCTGTGGTGAGAAAACCCTTTACAAATTTGGCATTCTTTGTTTATATAAACATTGTTCGGAACTAGTCATTCTCGACTCATTTCGTTTATAATTATATACAAAGCTTGGGTAAAGAATCGCTGTCCTAAATATCTATCTAACGCCACTTGTCAAAAGTCAATCTGTCAAGTTTTAGAATAATTTAATACTCACGCATTCAAGAGAAGTATTCTTCCATTACAATCAAACGTATCGATATAAGCCACATCTTCCTTGGTTAAACTGAAATCGAAAATTTCAAAATTCTGTTGCAGTCTCGATTTGGTGACGGATTTTGGAATGACGATGTTTCCTCTATCAATTTGATATCTAAGTATGATTTGAGCGGGAGTTTTCTTGTATTTCGTTGCCAGCTCTTTAAGTTTGGGATCATCCAAAAGTTTCGCGTCTCCTGATCCAAGCGGACTGTACGCCGTGACGATGATGTCTTTGGATTTGCAGAATTCGATCAGTTTGCTTTGGTTGAGGTATGGATGGCATTCCACTTGGAGATTTACAGGTTTTACTTTAGCAATTGCTAAAACTCTTTCGATTTGTCTCTTGTTGAAGTTTGAGAGACCGATGGATTTAATAAGGCCTTGTTGTTGAAGCTTTTCCATTTCCTTCCAACTGTCTACATAATCCACGTCACTGAAAATGACAGTACCGTCTTCTCTTCTTGGGAAACTTTCAGCTTCTTCCTGTAGAAATCAATACATTATTAATGGTACATATTAAATTTGATTAAATATTTCATACTTTATAAGCCATGGGCCAATGGATGAGATACAAGTCCAAGTATTCCAATCCTAAATTGTTCAAAGTCTCTTTAAGAGCTTTAGAAACCAAATCGGGTCGATGGAAAGTGTTCCATAGTTTGCTGGTAATGTAGAGGTCTTCTCTTTTGACTGTGCCATCGGAGAATTTGGCTTTTAAGGCTTCGCCTACTTCTTTTTCGTTGCCGTAGATCCAGGCACAATCAATTTGACGGTAACCGATGTCGATGGCGTCTTTTACTGCTTGAGCAACTTCGCCAGGTTGGGACTAAAAAATAATACAACAAAAATGTATAAAAGAAAACTGAGATGCTATAATCAAATTTGTATTAATAATGCCTGGTAAGTGTTACGGATTTAGCAATTTTTAACTATTACCTATAGTTATTACAACCCTCTTATGTCTATAATAGACAAGATCTGGACTCTTATTATACCAAAGAAACCTCACAAAATCAAAATCTCCTTTCTGTAATTGTATCTGCAGAAATGCTTTCGAAATATCAGATGTTACGCCGATTTTTGACCATCTAAAATTCAATAGTACAGCTGGTATCATAATTATCAAATTTATCCCCATTACAGTTATTTAGAGATGGATAATTCTTTTGTTTCGCCGAAGCATCATAAACTGGACGTAACTTTGTAGTTAAACTAACTACATGTCTATGAGGTAAATAATGTATATGAATCTCACCCAATTCCTCAAAAGGTACCTCCTCTATTATTCCCAATTGCAACTATTCTTCAAAAACTGTGTTATAATCATTATAGCAGCCGTCTCTATCTAACTTTTTCATGAGAGCATCCAATCGGGATTTTTCCATCTCGAAATTAGTAGGCAAAGATGGATGACCTTCTATAAAAGGGAGAGCGATTCTATAACGTCCATCTTCATTTCTTGAAACAGTATCAGAGAAAGATTGAAAAACAGATCAGTTAGCATTCCCTGGAAAAGTCTTGAAACTTCAAGATGGATCGCGATATCTTAAATATTTGGTAACAAAGAACACCCTCCGAGATCAATCCACTTATCATGTTGTATTACTTAGCCTGAGGGAGCATGTACTGGAGACTAACGTACAGAAACTAGCTATGCCAAAGATAGAGAGTAATCAGCTGAATTGGAGGATCATTAGTGTAGTGCCTCGATTGCACTACAGTTCATCAAATTTCTAGAGGCTTTCGACGGCTAGACAGAGAAAGCACTATTGACAGGCATCCCGACGGATTTACGCAATGAAAGTACACTCTGCGCATCAAGTATTTCACTATTTCATTCAGACGTAAATGTCAGATGTAAATTTCGCTAAAACATTTCTTTTATTTTCGTTTGTGTTTTTTGCTCATTACAGTTTAATAGAACCTAAGTATGGAGTTTAATAGCAAATTAAGAGGCCGCGTGATTAACAGTCAATCTCGCGAAATAATAGCCAATGTTATAGAGTTTATGAGAAGAGAAGGAAACTTTAATTCACCTTCAATACCATTTAAAAATGTAAATGATCGTGTTGCTGCAGCCACAGGAATATCTAAAAACACTGTCGTCCGCATTTCTGGAGAGAAAAAAAGAATCGATAACCGTGAGATATCGGAATTTTCATCACCAAGAAAAACCATTAAAAAACCAAAAACAGTTATTGATATAGATGAAGCTGCACAAGAATCAAATTTTATTTTTTTGTTATTAGATAGCTATTTTTGTTTCTGAGTTGTGTTCATTTACAGGCTCAATTTTTTTCCGTTTCTCCTTTTTGATTTTATATGGGGTTTCAAGTTGTTTTTGACTTATTTCGACGTAAATCACAACAACACACTTTTTTAATAAAGCAAACAAGTGTTAAGAGGTATATGTACGTGTAAACTACAATTACAAAAAATTGTTATGAAACCCATGAAACCACCAACAAAAATGTAAAGCTAGCTTCCGTACTAGAACATGGTGTCATTCGTCGAGATAATTTAATCGTTTTGTTTAATAGATCAAGAAATGTAAATATTCCCCTGTTATTTTTTATAAAATTATAAGAGAAATAAATTTTTTTCTAAATAGTATAGTTTATTATTTTGTAGGAAAACAAAATTTCGAAAATTTTAGTAATGTTTCATAAACAACCGTTATTAATAATAGGTACCATTTTCCTTAATAAGGTAGAAATAAAATATAAACTATTTCCACGATTTACAAAGACCTACAAAAAAATTATAGGTATTTTCCGCTATCCTATAAAATTTATATTTTCTGACTCAATTTCAAAAGGTTGAAGGAATTCCAAAACACCTTTTATGGCATAATAATTATTTTCAATTCTACATACTATCTTTAGCTGCTTTTAAAAACGTTCTAAGAAAGTCCAATCAGACCAATTTAATCCCTAAACTATTCCACACTTTTAAAATTTAATTACCTAAAAATATTAAAAACTATTTAAAATAACTTGTTTAGCAGACTGTACAATAGCTATCTCAGTCACACGTAGCGCGTTCTCTGTCTGGGCGTCGAACACCTCTAGAAATTTGATGAACTTGTACATACATTCGTACCTTTGAGCTTTTAGACACCTTCATTATGTGGCAGTCTTGATGAAAGTTAAACTCACTTCCATGGCAACATCCGTTACTACGAATCTATTGATTGATTATCATTATGACTTTTTATATTTTTACTATACATGACATGTCATCCATTTTTATATGCAATCCACATACTTTGATAAAGTATGTGATGCAATCACTGATCTGTTACAGATCAGTGTATGCAATACATAATTTTACATTTATCTACAAATAATTTATGATGGAATCTACACAATTAGAAACATGGTAGATGAAATCTTCCAAGATACCGAGGTCGAAATAATGCTTTGCAGCCATTCGCCTAGTGTCTAGGTTTGAGCGAAAATCATCACTTGTTATTTCCATACAGTTTTAGTTCCAGGAGAAACTTTTTCTTAAGGAGGGGGCAATGTCGTGCGAATGCCTGAAGCCAACTCTGTTCTTCGACCTTCAGCGCGCCGTAGTCTTGCGTTGGCTATCGAGACCCGACTACTGGAATTTTCTGTGGATATGGTGTGACGCGCGGAGGAAGATTTCAAGATTCTTCTACACAGGATTGGTTCTTTTTAGACTGTTAAAATTTAATATACAAGTGAAGTCTTTTGCTGTTTAGTTTGTTTTAATATAAATGTTATCATTTATGGTATAATGTTCTGTTTAGAGTTAATATTGTTAGCAAAATAGTACAAACCAAAGATTTGAATATCTCGGAAGCTGTACCCATATGAGTGATTTGCTAAAGTTTCTCAATAGTTACCGCAATCATAAAGGATTTGCAGATCTTAGTTGATGCTTCTGAACTTGCAAAATCTCTAGATGTACAACCAAACTTTAAAACTGGAAAAGTCTTCAGATCAAGGCGTGTTAAAAAACAATTTAATTACGAGAATGACGATGAACCAATTACCGATGCATTAATTAGTATAATTAGTAAAAGGTTTGACTTGTTGTCGTCCCATTGCAATCATTTACAATTTTTATGAGATATTTGTAAATTGTGTGATCACATTTGCACGACGGCCATCAATCGGATTTTGTACTTTTTTCTGGCATTCTTTTAGTCTACAGTTTTTAGGGTGAAAGTAATTTCTATTGATATCAATAATTTCAAATGTACTAGATAACAAACTGTAAATTTTTATAAAAATTACGTAGGTACACATGCTACTCAAAACGTACAGGTACTTATCAATTTTTTTTATTATAATTTTTTTAATAATTTATAGAACATTTTAAGATACTAATAAGAAAAAATAGATATTCATTTTTATGTACCAATATAAGTACATTATGCAATAATTATTAATCTAAATATTTCCACTCATACAAAATGTTATCAGTTTATTCAATAAATTATTGTACGATTATATTCATAATTATTCAATGTTATCACAAATATTAGAAATTTTCATGGCCACGAATCACAGTTAAATTAAACATGGCATATTTGTTTGGAGTCTAAAATGATTGTTACAAATTTTTCTGTACTTTAAAATATTTTTTAGTACTTGAAAAGTTTTACGGTAAATCATACAGTTCTTAAATTTCAATAGACCAACATTTACCAGTTTTTCATTAAATATCCAATTTCTGGTAACGTACTTACTAACTTCATTAGGTATAAAATTTAAGTCAACCATTTGCCGTTGAAGAGAAGCTTCTTGTGTATTATAAAAATCTAGTATCCTAATAATAATTGGAAAATTTATAATGGCTATATCTCATAAACTAAAGATGATGATATCACCAAAGGCCTAAAGCCGGTTCAAGTATAAGAAAGGGAAGCTTAAATGACAAAATACATAACTTACTCCCTATCATCCCCCTATGCGCCACCTACATTAACAAAAATAAATAGCGATCATCTACTTGTCATTTATATCATTGAAAAACTAGTAAATATTAAAAATCCTCTAAAAAAGAATTTATTTATATCACACCATTGCCTCCAAATAAAATAAAAAATAGTATTAAAAATAAATTAAATTTTATAGTTAATATTTTTTTAACTATTTCGAGACGGCAACTCGTCTCAAATTTTTGACACATGGACAAGCTTATTTTAAATGTTAGACCGAGTGTGACACATTAAAAATGTCTTCTCTTTTATTAAACGAAAAGAAAATTTATTTTGTAATTCTCTAAACTTAAATAAGAGGATAAGTAATGTAGAAAATTCAAATAAAGTAGCTTTACTTTTAAAATATAGAAATAAAACAATATTAATAAGTAAAACACTATTACATTTTCCGTAGGTACTTGTTTTCGTCACATATAACAGATAAAATATTAAATCAGTACTTATGTTTTTAAATATTTAATTTGGCCAAGAAGTATGAATTAAATTGCCAAATGCTATGTATACGTTTTATTTATTTTAGTGCCCATTCCAGTTATAATTAAATAAAAATCCACAATACTAATATTGCAAAATTTTCTAGAGAAACCTATATATGATTTCTTTTAAAGGAACTAACGTGAATTTTAAATAAAAGATTGCTTTAGTAAAGTTTTTACTGTTTTATTATGAAATTAACCCCAAAAAAGGCGAATTCTACTGTCTTGATACTATTCTACACAGGGTGTCTGTAAAAGGTCTTTACAAAAACATACCACATATTCCTTAGACCAAAATAAGTCGATTTAAGTAAAATTACTTTAGTATAAAGTTGCTTCGTTTGAGCTCCAGAGGGCCTTGAAGTTACAATTTTTAAATCGTTTTTCCCATATAAATTTAAAACGGCATATACGATTTTGTTGAAATTTGGTATATTGGTAGAGTTTTATGTGGCAAAAAAAATGGTATTAAAATTTTGTCCGATAATAATGCATAGGCGTAGAACTTGCACCTTTAAAAATTCTACGCCAATATAAGAAAAGGAGTTTGAGTATGAAATTTAGATTGCGCAACTCATTTACTTTAAAAAAGGTACTCTTGATAAGACTCGATTACTCTCATGGTTTTGACGAAATTTGCATTTTAGTGATTTTAGAACATAAACAATAATTATTAAAATACAAACTTTGTCAAAACCATGAGAGTAAATCGTAAATCATTTTGTAGTAAATGAGTACCCAATCCAAATTTCATACTCAAACCCCTTTTTTGCCATTGGCGTAGAATTTTTAAAGGTGCAATTATTTAAAAAATCAAGTTCTACGCCTATGTATTATTATCGGACAAAATTTTATACGATGAAAAACATAAAAATGTACTTTTTTCATATCTCCTTCAACACCTTTAATCGAGACTTAACAAAAATACTCGATTCTTGCCATGTACGATTTTTTGAGGAATATTAATTATTTGCCTGCAATACGTATACAAAAACATTTATTGTTGGTTTCCATAGTTTCATCTAAATAAAAATATTGTCAAGTTTTAACACCTAATCTCTTGTTAACGATTGAAAGTGTTCTGACTCAATAATTAAAAAAACAAATGCGTGGTTTATTAATATGGCTGTACAATATACCAATGCAGAATATACCGATATGTTACTGACATTAGGATTTTGTGAAGGAAATGCTCGAGAGAGTGTCAGGGTGTACTCTGAAAGGTTTCCAAATCGTCGTGTACCTAGCCACCCAACTTTTGCTGCTGTTGAGAGACGTCTTCGGAAGACCGGTTCCTTTGCTCCCAACACTGTTGATAATGGAAGAGAACGTTTTGTAAGGATTCCTGAAGTTGAAGAAGACATTTTAGAACGTGTTGAAGAAGATCCAGAATTAAGCACAAGACGAATTGGAAGGGAACTAGGAGTAAGTAAAGATGTCGTTCATAAAGTGCTTAGAAAACAATTGCTATATCCACACCATAAGAAGCCAGTACAAGAATTATTAGTCCATGATCCTCAAATTCGTTTGGGTTTTTGTCGATTTGTTAATATGCAAAGAGAAAGAGATCCAAACTTTGTCAAGAAGGTTCTCTTTACCGATGAAGCGGGTTTTACAAGAAGAGGTATAACTAATACCATAATGAACATGTTTATGCCGTTGAAAATCCGCATGCAATAAAGGTAAACCATTTTCAGCACGAATTCAAAATTAATGTGTGGGCTGGAATAATTGGTAATTTAATTGTTGGTCCTGTCATACTTCCACGAAGATTAACTGGAGAACATTATTTGGATTTTCTACAAAATACGTTGCCAGAATTGTTAGAAGATTTACCTCTCCAACTTCGGAGAGACAGTTTATGCAAGATGGAGCTCCACCACATTTTTCTTTAAACGTTATAAACCACTTGAATGAACAATATCCACACAAATGGATAGGCAAAGGTAATGACACACCTGTAAACTGGCCACCACGTTCCCCAGACCTAACACCGATGAATTACTCTTTATGGGGACATCTGAAATCCACAGTTTACAGGGAACCTGTAGAAAATGAGGAACAACTCTGGCAACGTATTCAAGATGCAATAAACAATCTTAGAGGTGATGAAGAAGTTATGGAAAGGATACATTTTAATTTTCTTCGACGTATAAATCTTTGTATGCGTGAAAATGGTGAACATTATGAACAATTTTTGTAAAATCTTCATTTTGATTATGTTGTAAATAAATATTTTTGTGAAACCTATACACTCTAAATTATTAAAACAGAAATTTAGCGAAAACCATGAGAGTAATCGAGTCTTATCAAGAGTACCTTTTTTAAAGTAAATGAGTTGCGCAATTTAAATTTCATACTCAAACTCCTTTTCTTTCATTGGCGTAGAATTTTTAAAGGTGCAATTATTTAAAAAATCAAGTTCTACGCCTATGTATTATTATCGGACAAAATTTTAATACCATTTTTTTTGCCACATAAAACTCTACCAATATACCAAATTTCAGCAAAATCGCATATGCCGTTTTAAATTTATATGGGAAAATCGATTTAAAAATTGTAACTTGAAGGCCCTCTGGAGCCCAAACGAAGCAACTTTGTACTAAGGTAATTTTACTTAAATCGACTTATTTTGGTCTAAGGAATTTGTGGTATGTTTTTGTAAAGACATTTTACAGACACCCTGTGTTATGTTGAAAATACATATTTACGTACATTTATTTTTTTATAATTTGATCAAATTAACTTTTCGTATAGAAAGCACAAAGATATATTTTCAATTTCTGCATAATCTGATAAATATTCAAAAATAATCTCAAAATATAAAGAAAAGTTAGCTGACTATAACTAATAATGTTTATAGATGTGTTTCAATGTATTAAAAACAACAAACCACCAATAATCTCATCTTCTTCAATGTAGATCATATGTTGGTAATATATGGATCACTTTGACTTTGATCCAACGTTGCCACATTTAGTAGATTTCCCCTTTTTTGTAGATTTCAGCTTCTAGTAGTTTTAGTAGAATTTAAAATTATAAAAAAATCAAATTCCTTGCCAAAAATATTCCTCTACCAATTTTGGCAACATTTTATAAACAGATTGTGAAATTATTACCGAAAAAGCGAAATAATGATGTCAAATTTGACCACCCTGTACTTTTTAAGTTTCAGTATTTTATTAAAGAAAGTTTCCAATCCAACACTACCATTACGCTGGGCTATTATTTACAGAACACTCTGTATTTATTTCATAATGGAGTCATATAGGGCGCTACTGTCGAACCAACCCTTAAAAAAATAATAACGCGCCACTGTGGTGTGCAAATGTACCGTTATTTACTTAACCACACTTCATTTGAAAATAATTTTTGTATTAAATTAAAATGCATATTTATATACCTGTAAAACATTAAAATTACCCGCCACTGGAAACATTCTCCGAAAATCTCTACAAATTTTGGAGCGATTCCTGATATTTTTTCACATTCTATTATTTTGAAATCAAAGTACAATTTACATTTTTTAGAATAAAATAAATCTAAGTATGACTGGAAAATAACTAAGGACCGATTCCACCGTTGTGATAAACGAAGTTTAAAATGACATTTTTACATTAATAGTGTCATTTTAATCTCTGTTTAAAACAACGGTGGAATCGGCCCTAAATGAAATAAAAGCTCTCCTAAAAAGCAATATATTTTTATATGGTAGGTTAAACATTTATTAAAATAAATAAAAAATATGTTTATCTTGAAAGAATGTTATTAAAAAATTAAAATAATTATTTTCCGATTATATAATGTATATTCCAAAGATAAAAATCAAATTAGAAATTTTATATTTTATAAAATTTTCATATTATGTACATACAACGTTATATAGACTTTCTATTAGTGACATAAATGTGAGATAAATTAACACTATCGCTGTAACTAATGATGATTATAAATATTACAGTCCAGACCTGTGCTTACAAACAAAAACTATAAATAGAATAGTAACAAAAACAAATTATATTTTACCTTCCAAGTTCCCAGCCCAAAAGCAGGGTACTCCCGGCCATTGTTAAACTTAACTGTTGGAATTTTACCCATTTTTTTTACTTAATTGAACTTGTGAAGTAACTCTGACCAGCTGCAGTACAGAAGTGACCGGTTTAAAAAACAACACGTAGTTTTAAACGATATGTAACAGATTAATCGTTTTAAGTACTATGTTATCAGTTTGTTTACTATTACTTGAACAAGTCACTAGGTAATCTGAAATTGGATTCTTTTAGAAAACAATATTTAATGTTTTATAGGTTAGGTTTTAGGTAATGTACGCTGTGTTGCCATGAAATTATTCAATTTTTGTGTGCTGCTGACTAATGGATCTATCAAAAAGAATAAATAGTGTGTGAAACTCTGGAATCTAAATTCCAAACGCTACCCCATAAATTTACTAATTTTTTACTGAAACAACTTTCTCATATAATTATAATTATTCTTCTCTAAGGAACTGTTGGTTCAAATATTGTGCCATAAATAAAATTAGTTTGTTTTGTATATGATTTCCGACTTCATATTTCTTTTCCTTTGCAACCATGCATATGAAGATCACGTTAAGTCAATATGGAACTGAGGAACCTACTCTTCAGCAACCCGCAATGCACGATCAACATGGTAAAGGTGTAATACGGGTTGCATAACTATTGTAGCTTGCGCCATTGAGTGAGAATAAATACCAACGTTTGACAGTAGTTGTTGATCACCATGGGCGTATCAAATAGGTTTTTTTTATCAGAATCCAAAGGATTGATTTTTAAATATTGTTATGATTTCTATAGCCTCACAGTTTAAAAATACCCAATAAACTTAACTTACCTCGGCTAGCGTTTTTAATATACTTAAACACTTTTTAAGAGCAGGTTCTCTTTCTCTCAGTGGTGTCGGTTAAAGAATAATTATATTTATTAACTGAGCTATTAAATGATTATATAAACAAACTTTTACAAAACTAAATTGTTGTTTAATTTTAACAAAATCAAAAATTTAACAAATAGCAGGTGTTTTAATACCTGTAATAACTGGAATAACACTACCCCTACTAAACCTACTTATTCATTAAAAAAAAATGTAACTATTTTCAATGAAAATTACAAAAAAAATCAATAATTATTATTGATTATTTAATTTAATCTAAACTAAAACTATATTTACAACTTTAAATTTCAGTCAGTAATTTGTACAAAAAAATAAATAAAATGTTTATAAATTTGAGGTACCGTCCGTGTATCACTGCTGCTTACTCCTATTTCAATCGTCTATTCAATTTATTCTTTCTTCTTCTTTCTTTCTCTCACAAATCTTATAGTTCTTTACAATGTATCTTTTTAAAGTTTGCTTATTTAATTTTTTTACATATCTTTCAATTTACAATACTATTCCTTTTTACAAATTTCTGACATCCTCTCTTTTTTTAAATTTCAAAATTGACAACCCTTCACAATTTTTATGTGACATTTTTCCTCATTTATATCTTTTTTCCTCTACAGGGTGTATTCTTGTTATTTTAGTTCATTCTAATTATCTTAATATTATTATTTTTTTTTTTTTTTTTAATTTGGTGTCATCGGCGTCGACTACTACGGCCATTAGCCTCGTGTTCTGTGTAGGCTTTGTTACTGTTTCCCAGCGCCACTTTAGGAACAGCACTGTTAATTAGAACCCAACAGTGAATGGTCGAGTGGGGAATCCTTATTATTATTATTATTATTATTATTATTTTGTTATTGATATTATTATAATATTTTGTCACGACAAATTTAGAGAAAAATACAAGATGTTTAAATTTTAACATCATAGTCATTAACATTTCTCGACAACTTAACCCTTAACTGCATCGCGTATCGTATATGATACATCGCATTTATAATACTGCTACTGACATATATTGACTTGTATAAGAATTTCATTGTGTTGTACGGCTGAGACAACATGCATAAGAAGATAATATAAAATTTTACCATCATTTATTTCTATGACAGAAGATTTATAACCTCAAATGTGCACAATTACGTATATTGTGATCTTAGAATATAACAAAATAAGTGTAAAACATTTAAGGGGGTGATTCCTCATCGAAAAAAAGATAGGATCTTTCATATAAAGAAACTTCATTGGAGCATCCCTTGTTAAGATACAGCCCCTTAAACGGGGGGTACATAAAATTTGTTTAACAATTTTTTTCACAAGCACTAAACAAGTTACAATATTGAAATTAACCTGTCATTTTCTACTACCAAAAAGACACTTAGCCAGTAATTTATTTGGTTTACCCCATGGTTGTAAGGGGGTGTAAAACGCAACCCGTAAAGTTTCGTTCCAACGTAACTTTTTGTCTTATTATTTGTTTACCATTTAAAATTTTATTTCCGATAGCCTGTTTCATTCTAAACAAAAAATGTCTCTTGAATTTTTCGCCCAAACTAAACCAGTTCGCAGCAAAAAATTATTTTGCGAACAACTACAGAGATACATCGTCATAAATGCGTCAAGATGATTTATCATAATTCATGAACAATTCAAATTTCAGATGAAGTTTTATTTGAAAAACTTGATGAAATCCAAAATCGAATAGAACATTACACTTCAGAGGTTCCAGCTGACTTAGCTAGCACTTCAGAACTTTGAAATTGTTTTCCTAGCACTTCGAAAGTTCCAGCTGACGTTCCTAGCACGTCAAAAATTCCGATTTTCTAAAATTCATGCAGTTAAGGTTTAAATTTTATGTGCGCAGCAATACTTGCATTAGCAGTTAGTTACTTCCTTTACATAACTCCCAATAATATCGCATACAGGTCGGCACAGTAATGTGTACAAGTTACACATCTTTAAGGTGACTCACTACCTTTAGTTTTTACTTCGAAGACCTAACAGTCCCTCCCTCCCGCGTTCATAGATGGAGACATCGATGTTCATTTGTTACATACCTAATCGGTGATAGTATGATTGGTAGACTCCGTTGGCTTCGATATGAATGTAGACCATTGTATTATCATACTTTATCTTTAAAATTTCTTGAAAGTAGAAGTTACAAGACATTTATTTTGAATTATATTCACACAGTGTTGCCAACTGGTGAGAAATTTTAACACAAAAGGGAAAAGTTAATGATTTTAAAAAGAAATAAAATTAAATTTGTTATTGATTTGACGTATTTTTGTATTTTTATAACCTCTATGAGATGTAATATAAAGGTCTTGCAGTTACTGTTAGAGTTACATTAAAAGTACATTGCTTGGGAGCAAATACCCCAGCAATTCCCGGCTTATTAATATAGATGGGATGTATATGTGCTAGCTGGGAAAAATGTAATAAACATAGGTTGGAAAAAAGAATAATTTTATTAATTTTATTGAAATAATAAAAAATAACAATTTAAAAATACTAAAAAACGTATTGCACATTAAACTCATATTGTTATATACAAAATATATGTACATTTTGTGGGATTTATTTTAATATTCATTGGTTGTTATCTGCGGTTAGTGCCAAAGAAGTTAAAGCGCTACGTCGACCTGGAGTCACTCCCAAATTTTCCCAGTTTATCCAAGACAATCGCGCAGTTAAATCTGAAAACAAAAAAAACAGTTACAAGTTAGAAAAAAATAAAAATTTTAAGTAGTAATATGGAGTGACCCACAGGAAAAATAATGTATAAGTTCGGTTATACCGCCTGAATTTAGAGATAGTAGTAGCAAATCTGTAGATGTACATAACAGTTACAGGTTTGATACTGTCCATCTCTAAATTCCAGTGCAACACCGGAACAAAAGGCGGCTCCAAAGGGGCCATCCCCGAGGTTAAAATTCTTACAATATATTATGAGCCTTTTATTATAAACAAATTGCTAAAAAGGGAAATGTTATTGACAATTGCCCTTTCTGGAAATTCGTCCTGAAAATGCCCTTGACCGGAACCACCTAAATATCTAGAACAGCGTTACTCAAAATGTGGTCCGCGGAGCCCTGGGGCTCCGCAAAGTCTTTGTGGGGCTCCGCGAAGAAAATAATAATCATAATAAAAAAAATAAGCAGTATCGCTACTTGACATGAGGACCTTTTTTAGAAATGTTTAGAAATGTTTAGAAATGTTTAGAAATGTTTAGAAATGTTTAGAAATATTTAGAAATGTTTAGAAATGTTTAGAAATGTTTAGAAATATTTAGAAATGTTTAGAAATGTTTAGAAATGTTTAGAAATGTTTAGAAATGTTTAGAAATGTTTAGAAATGTTTAGAAATGTTTAGAAATGTTTAGAAATGTTTAGAAATGTTTAGAAATGTTTAGAAATGTTTAGAAATGTTTAGAAATGTTTGTTTAGAAATGTTTGTTTAGAAATGTTTGTTTAGAAATGTTTGTTTAGAAATGTTTGTTTAGAAATGTTTGTTTAGAAATGTTTAGAAATGTTTAGAAATGTTTAGAAATGTTTAGAAATGTTTAGAAATGTTTAGAAATGTTTAGAAATGTTTAGAAATGTTTAGAAATGTTTAGAAATGTTTAGAAATGTTTAGAAATGTTTAGAAATGTTTAGAAATGTTTAGAAATGTTTAGAAATGTTTAGAAATGTTTAGAAATGTTTAGAAATGTTTAGAAATGTTTAGAAATGTTTAGAAATGTTTAGAAATGTTTAGAAATGTTTAGAAATGTTTAGAAATGTTTAGAAATGTTTAGAAATGTTTAGAAATGTTTAGAAATGTTTAGAAATGTTTAGAAATGTTTAGAAATGTTTAGAAATGTTTAGAAATGTTTATAAATGTTTAGAAATGTTTAGAAATGTTTAGAAATGTTTAGAAATGTTTAGAAATGTTTAGAAATGTTTAGAAATGTTTAGAAATGTTTAGAAATGTTTAGAAATGTTTAGAAATGTTTAGAAATGTTTAGAAATGTTTAGAAATGTTTAGAAATGTTTAGAAATGTTTAGAAATGTTTAGAAATGTTTAGAAATGTTTAGAAATGTTTAGAAATATTTAGAAATGTTTAGAAATGTTTAGAAATGTTTAGAAATGTTTAAAAATGTTTAGAAATGTTTAGAAATGTTTAGAAATGTTTAGAAATGTTTAGAAATGTTTAGAAATGTTTAGAAATGTTTAGAAATATTTAGAAATGTTTAGAAATGTTTAGAAATGTTTAGAAATGTTTAGAAATGTTTAGAAATGTTTAGAAATGTTTAGAAATGTTTAGAAATGTTTAGAAATGTTTAGAAATGTTTAGAAATGTTTAGAAATGTTTAGAAATGTTTAGAAATGTTTAGAAATGTTTAGAAATGTTTGTTTAGAAATGTTTAGAAATGTTTAGAAATGTTTAGAAATGTTTAGAAATGTTTAGAAATGTTTAGAAATGTTTAGAAATGTTTAGAAATGTTTAGAAATGTTTAGAAATGTTTAGAAATGTTTAGAAATGTTTAGAAATGTTTAGAAATGTTTAAAAATGTTTAGAAATGTTTAGAAATGTTTAGAAATGTTTAGAAATGTTTAGAAATGTTTAGAAATGTTTAGAAATGTTTAGAAATTTTTGAAAATGTTTA